CTAATTGAAGAACACAAGACCAGATGTTACAATGCTTCATATGCATTATTATCATTATATTCTCAAGTGTTTCAAAAAATATGAGAAATAGGGATAGGGCAAAGAGGTAACCATCCCAAGAGTTCATCCCACAACCCTTCTTCTTCTTTATCTTCCATCCTCAAGTCACAGTGGCACTTCGCTAACAACTACCCTTCATCCGCCACAAAACATTCTATCTCTAGCGACTCAAACCCACCACCACCACCACTACCCAAAACCCTCTTCAAACCCCACTAATTACAACCCTACCCCAAAACTCGTCTCAAACCCTAATCCAAACTAGTTTGAACATGTTCTGACTCCTCCCGAAGCTCTATCGTTGTTCCCAAACGATATCAGATTACCAAAATTTTACTCCGACGATGAATCGGGATCCAAAATTGGCTAGTCCAGATAGGGGTTTCGATACACAGAGAAAGCACCAAACCTATAAGTTACAAATCTATAATGTCCCCAAAATATTACAATAAGATCCTTCCATAACAGATATTAAATAACAACAGATATCTAAATACAATCTTCTCTCATTCATAAGGTTTCATCTCTTTACAAAAGTATAGCGTATGTAGTAATACATTCATAAGTCCTAATCCTGAATCTATAGCATGTGTCATAGCAAAAGATATGAAATGAGAGTTAAATAGATAGAGTAATGCCCTATTGGCTACAACTTTCCAAGGCGATACTTGGTTACAATAAATGTGAGTTTATACTCAATACAAATAAAGCCCCAAGTCAAGTTCTCTCAAACTATTACCTTGTCGGAGACATGTCATTAGCACCTAAAAATAATTTTCCACATAGGATGAGCCAAAGCCCAGTAATACTCTAACACAGTGTATGAATCTTAATAGAGTTATAAGGTGAATGCATATACAATGCTCGTACCAAAACCTTTTATAACTCTTTCCAAAATCATGCTTTCATGCAATCAATTCATTTTCAATAGAAAACAAGGCAGTGGATACAACATTGAGAATCTTTAGAACGTGTCTGCAAGTAGGCTACAAGCACTACCAATTTGTCATTTTTACCGATATTAACCGGAAGGCTCGACACCTAACCGTGTGGATTTCTAGACTTTCACCAAGAACACACAGGCCAGCATAATACCACAACTACACTTCTATCCAGATTCACTATAGTATTCACCCATTTTTCTCAAAACAACAATAATTTCAATGTGTTAAATATGTTACAATGCTCAATGCAAATGGATGAGAAAATAACTTCAATTTACCTAATTCTCATGCAATTTCTATAACAATTATAACTATCCTCCACCGATAGCCCAAAACAGATATCTCTAAACAGATAATTAATTTTCAATACACATATACTTTCCAACATTTCTAATTAAGAGTGATAATGCATATCCAACTCCACTATCATCATCATCATTGTGCCAATTACATAATACCAACATCAATTCCATTTTCTTTTTACCAAACCAAGTACTTATAATTTAAGACAAACCTCATTTCTTTAAAAATCATTTCCCAAGGATAAAATCCATCATTTATCCCAACCCAACCATTTTTACAAAGCCACAATCCTATAAAAGAACCCATTTTGAAAACCCCTCTTTTGAATTTTCAAAGGAAAACCCTAGATTTTTTGTTAAAAAATTCCCAAATCACAACTTAACTTAAAAAATAAAATAATTAAGTTAAAAACCATACAAAGTGTTAAAGTAATCCCTACTTCAAAGACAAGGACCAAGAAGAACAAGAGTTAAAACTTGACGAAACCGAAAACGAAAACGAAAACAAACACGAACTTTGCTCTGATCAAAATGAAGCCCTCGATGTGCTCTACCTTTTTATCAAAAGGACTATAGTGTAGAAATCAACAGATCAAGATGAATTTGAGTTTTATATACGGTTTCTAGAGAGAGAGTAAGTAGATCTAGGTTTTAGAGTGTTTTAGAGAGAGAGAGAGAGAGAGAGGAAGTTAAGAAAAATAACCCAAAAGTGACCCCTTTTGGATTGATATACGCATAGATTGCTCGAGCGCAAGAATAGTCGCTCGAGTGGCCAGACACAACGAAGACACTGCTCGAGTGCACAATGCACCCCTTCCAGTAGTTTAAACCAACAAAAGTTTGCTCGAGCGCAAGAAGCATCGTTCGAGGGTAGATATCAAGCTTTCGATAATTTACTGACTGTAAAAGACCACTCGAGCGTAAGAAGCGTCACTCGAACGAACAAGCAAAATCCTAAGCAGAATTTATTTTGAAAAATAAGCTACTAACTTGTTCCAAACATGACAATGATATTCCAATAACCAAACTCAATGAAGTACAAGATGAATAAGGACATGAACGGTGATACAAGATAGGATATCCCTAATCAAAAACAATAAACGGGTTAGGTCTAAACCGGAATCGTTATAAGATCTGTTAGAGAGAGAGAAAAAGAGCACCAAACAAAATATTTTGAACATACTTGTTACAAATCTGGATCAAAGACCAAACCCTATGAGAATGAGAGAGAGAGAGAGAGAAAGAAAGAGAGAGAGAGAGAGAGTCTAAATTGAGTTTGTTTTATGTTTTTAGAAAGATCGAGGACCTTCTTGAAAAGATCAGAGATCTCTAGAATAGTATAAACAAGTAAAGACAATCATTATCCAATTGCTGCAATGCGCTCCTAGAGAGAATAACATAGAGACAACAACCTTTGTCAGATCTGCAAAGGTCCCATTGAGCAAGGTCTGGACTGACAAAGGGAGATTTTTCGGCGAGGAGGAGGGCCGAGAAACTGAAAGAGATATAGGTAACGGAAGTAGAGAGAGAGAGACCATAACAATGGCGAAAACGGCAACAGCGACGGCGATGGTGGTGTAGTGGCGAAGGGTGAGGGAAAGTGGTGGTGAGAGAGAGAGGATGAGAGAAGCTAAGGAGAATGAGAGAGAGAGAGAGAGAGAGAGAGAGTATGGTTTTATTAGGGTTTGGTTTGGAAAATAATATCTATATATATACATGGGTAGTTTGGTCATTTTATAAAGGTTTGTCCTTATGGACAAAGTATTTGAGCACCTAGATATTTGGGTAAAGAAAATTCAAAATTTAATTTATCACCTGAGCACCCTTTTTCTTATTCCGTTTCAGTAAATAAAAATAGTAATTGGGTAGTAATCATTAAGGTTAATTATACTAAGATTTTCACAATTATTAATAAATATTACTTGATCATTTTTCTATAAATATATACATATTGACCCTCTCAACCTACTATACAAATTTTTATGTTGTATCATATATACCCTAATTACAACTTTGTGATTTATTGGGGGATTAGCTTTGACTTGATTATACACATTCTGGTGCTAGTTATGACTCATTATAATGCTAGTTATAACATTTTTTTTTTGTTATGATCCAAGAACTCTTTGGTTATTATTTCTGTAGTGTTTAATTATAACTTATTTTTTTTAGTTATAACTCATATATGATTGAGTTATGACTTTGATAATAATCAAATGCACAAATGTTACAACTTGTCAATGATATAAACCCTAAAAAAAATATGTACCATAATATTACCCCACAACTAGGGGTGAGCAGCAGATATATCAATCCGTCCAAATCGACCGAACCGAACTGATCCTTCGCATTTTGGATGGATGCACAATGACGAGCGGACGGTTGCAGATTGATTTTTTTCAATCCCCCTAGTTTTGAATGGATGTCGGATTTGAGGTTCATTTGGCTGCAACTGAACCGCCAAACCGCAAGCATTCCTAGTAATGTAACGTTTACGTTTCCAGCTTATATTTACAAAAATTTTATAAATTGATTTTTGTTATTTTTAGAAAAACATAAACTACAAACGCGTTTGATAATTTACAAAATGTTTAAAAGATTTTAAATATATAAAAAAGAGTGAGAAATGACAAGTGGCAGCGGAAGACGGTGGTGGAAAGTGGTGACAGTGGGTGGTGGGTAGCTGGTGGTGGTGGGTGGTGGTAATGGTGGGTGGGTGGGTAGGTGACGGTGACGGTGACGGGTGGTAGGTGGTAGCAAGTAGGTGGTGGTGGTGGTGGCGGGTGGTGGTGGCAGGTGGGTGGCGGATGACCGATGGTGGTAGGTGGTGGCGAGTAGGTGGCAGGTGGCAGGTGGTGGTGATGGGTGGGTGGGTGACGATGGCGGGGGGTGGGGGGGGATGGGGGGGTGGCACCCCCCTGCCTCTCAAGGGCAAGATGCAAGTGTTTGGTGCAAAACCAGACACTAAACGGTCGATGAGTTTTCAACTTGAATATATTTTTTGAATTGAAAAAAATAAACATGCTATTTATCTATAGTTTTTGGTTTTTAAATCTAACTCTAAAAATAATAAATAAAAAAGATGATATATGCTGGTTGATTTTTGTTTTAAAAAACATATATAGATGTAACAATACAAAGTCTACAATCTCTACTACTGTTCTATTTATGATTTTGGTGCTTTGAATTGTTTTTATATTTTAATAAGCACAAATTATAATATTTTATGTGGATGAGGCAGGCTATGATTATAATATGTAGTTGAGACATGCAATAATTATAATATTCGAAAGTTTCAAACTTTCTTTCTTTAAATAAGATATGTAGTGATTGTAATATTTTTTTAAGTCAATTATTGTAATACTTTCTTCTTCTTCTTTTTTGTGAGAAGGTGTATAAGTTGAATTTTATTGAAAATTTATAAAATTTTAAATCGCTAAACTGATTTATATCCCTCTACTAATCCGCTCAATTCACATCTACCAAATTGACAGACAAATACGAATTGATTTTTTTGGATTCACAATTTGATGAACAAATGACAGTTCCATACCTCCTTCCCCCCCGCCCCCCCCGGGGCCACAACTATGAAAGTTATATATATATATATGAGTGGTCCAAATTGAGTAAAAGTGATACACTCTTATACTTTTTTTTATTTTTTTGAGTGTAACCCTAATTGTTAATTAATGACTGTGTAGTCAATGGCCCTTTAGACAATACAGAGAGAGTATAGACTTGGCAGTATAGCGAGGGAGAGCTAGTAGAGCAAGTACACAGTATACTGAGAAATTTATCGAAGATAAATAGACATAGAGAGTGAAACCAAGGATATCAAATCTCCATACGATTCAAGATCTAGATCACATAGATAGAGGAACACGAACATTTCGAATCTCTTTTTCCATATATATATATATATCTTCAAGTCAACCCTCAGAGTCAACTGATTCAACGCTTCGGAAATGGCCAATTCGTTGATCAATGGTTGAATATCCAGCTTTTTACCGGTTACTTTTCGGATTCAATAGCCCTAACGGGCAATTGGGTGTTGAATTTGAATTGGGTTTTCTGAAGAACTGGATTGTTAGGGTTTTGGGAGGTTGATGAAATGGAAGAAAATCCAGCAGCTTTGCATACGGCTATCAATTCAGTACAGGCGTTGGGTAAGGGATTTGATGTGAACTTTGATACCAGGTTGTTGTACTGTAAAGGATTGGGAGGGTCTAGGGTTGTTGAAATTGATGAAGAACACTGTAGGGATCTATGTTTGTATGACGGTTTGGTTGTGCCCAATGTCTCAAGGGACATTAAGAATTCTCTGGAGCCAGTTGGGCGTGATAGCTCTGGGGTTTGCAATTTTCATGAGGTATGGTATTCTCTCTCTCTCTCTCGAAAGCTTATGTGATTCATGTTACAAATGTTAGAAATCCGTAAAACCTAACCATGATCGGTAAAATACGAAATATGCAAAATACAGAAAGAACACACACACAGAAAGATATATCATAGGCACACACGAACAAACAATTAGGGCTCCGTCACTGCTGTTGTGGTTTTCACTATGATCGGAAAAGTTATAAGTGATTGCAAGAGGTAGCCGCCTCCCCTCAATTATAAACTAGAAGCGGGGGCACACGCCATGTGTGTATATATATGATAATTTTGTTTCAGAAAATAAGATTGTAAATTGTATGATTGAATATTTGAAAATTGAAATGAATTTGGAATAATCGAAAGTTGAGAGATTTGAAGGGAAAAAAAATTGAATTTAGGGCATAACTGACAATATAACTGATATAGGAGTATTTTGGGAAAACCCAAAAGATGAGACATAAACACCTAGATAAGGCTTATCTTTATAATAGTATAGAAGATAGATATATAGAAATTAGGGCAAAGTTGATATTTGAATTGGACTTCAAGATTATTGATGTGCAAGTGAAAGAATTTGCCACGTGAAATAAATTTCCATGAGGAAGTGCAATAAAGTAGTGAGAATCTTACTGAAGAGGGAAAAAGTTGATAGTCCCAATTACACTTCAATTTTGATTCTCCACTTAGCTTGTGTTTGATTCATCAATTTTCTTTTTTATTTTTTTCAAGCGTGTTCACCAGGTAACTATGTCAAGCTTACAATTGAGTGCCATTGTTTCTTTGAAATCAGTCAGGTGCTACACCAAATTTTAGGGTCTTAAACTTCTGTGTTGCTATAAGCAACAAGATTGTGAGGTTGTTGCTTATAGTATTAGGCATAAGATCTTAGAGAACTTGAGTAATGTTTGCAACTACAAAAATTAGTTGTACCAAAGGATGGAACATGGTCTAACTATTGCAATACTTATTTTGTAAACTAACTACCATGTAGGCTACTGTTTATTCTTTCTATTGCACTAGGATAGTGTTTGGTTCACTGGAATGAAGGTGGAACAGAATGATCATTCTATTAGAATGTCCATTTTCACATTTGATTTACTAAAAAAATGATGAAAAATGTATTGCACATGGAATCACTATTCAACATTATAAAGGAATGGTCATTCTGTGTGGAGGTTTCTATTCAATTCCACTTTCATTCTAGTAAACCAAACTCAACATAATAGTTCTAATATGATTGTCACTCGGAATGACCGCAGATGGTGGAGTATTTTAATAAAAAGGCTGGTCTATCGGGAGATGTTCCTCTTGGAAGCTTCAATGCTGCTTTCAGCTTTACTGGTTCCAAGCATATTGATGCTGCAGCTACAAAGACCCTTTGCATGGATGGTTTTTTCTATCCACTTGCTAAGGTTCATTTCATAAAATCCCCATTAGTTTTGCAAGAAAATGTGAAACGAGCGGTCCCAACATCTTGGGACCCACCCTCCTTAGCAAGGTATTAGTCTTCAAATTACTTATAGAAAGGCGTTGCTACTAGAATCTATTATTTGTATATAATTTTGATCTTTTATTTTTGAACAGCTTTATTGAAAACTTTGGGACACATGTTATTACATCTGTAACCATTGGTGGTAAGGACGTGATTTATGTTAAACAGCATCAGTCTTCGCCTTTGTCAACCATGGAGATAAAAAAATATGTTCAGGATGTCGGAAATCATAGGTTCTCCAACACCAACAGTCTAACAAGTTCAGGTCTATTGAAATACAAGGAGAAGGCTAGTTCCGTGATGTTTCTTATTTCTTATTCATAAAAGTTAACATTTTTGTTCTCATATTTTGTTTCTCTTACATTTTTCCTTGACACACTCTATATCTCTTTCCTTTTTTTCCTTGTGTATTTTGCAGGGTGCTGATCCTTCTTTATTCAACAGCCAAGGGATATATCCTCAACCCACTAGTGTGCCTTGTCTTACCGGGAATGGTAAAGAAGTATGTAGAAGTCTTAATCTAGTATTTTAACTATTAGAAAAGACGGAGTTGTTTTTGTTACCTTTTCACAATTGATCTATTTTATTTTATTTTTTAAACTTTTTAAGGTCTCTCATTGACCTCTCTTTTGGCCCACACCCTTGGAACTTATCTCCAACCAAACCATTGGTCTCTTTTTTGTTTTTTTAAAGAACTTTTTAGCATCTCTCCTTGCACTCTCACTAACTCTTGTTTTCTGCATATGCATTTATCAAAATTCTCAAAAAAGCCTGAGGGGACTCTAATCTTCTAAACTGCATATATAAATTTTGGAGCTGTCTGTTTCTTTATAATTGAAATGGGTAAATGGTTGGGGATTCTCTCTTTCTCCTTTCATTTGTCAATTAGAAACAAAACATAAAAAATAAAAAATTCTTGTATGGGTTCTATGTAAGATTTTGCCCCTACTGGATAATTGTTTTTATCCACCCCTGCAGTCACTGTTCATTTAGGGTTGTTTTGGGAATTGACTTTTTTAGTGGTTTTTTTTTTTTTTTCTTTTTACAAAAAGCGTGCAAAAAGTAGAGAGAAAAGAGTTGAGTTTTTTTATTGACTTTTTGGTTAAAACTTCATGTTGCCAAAATGGGCCTTAGTTTGAACTGTTGGGGGAATTTATTTACACGAGTGGTAGAGAGGAATTTGTGCAGTGTCAGGATTCTGAATCCACATCGTGCTTGTTTATAGATGGAAAAACTCACTCTACCTGGGTTTTGTTGAATTATTATGAAGCATTCGATTCAAAATTTTCTTAAATTACACATGGTGCAGGATGTCACAGTCATTTTCAGACGGAGGGGAGGAGATGATCTAGAGCAAAGCCATACTCAATGGGCCACGACTGTACATTCCTCTCCAGATGTTATTGAGATGTCATTCATTCCTATCACCCTTCTTTTTGAAGGGATAAGTGGAAAAGAGCACTTGGATCGTGCTATAGGTCTCTATCTTGAATGTAAGATATCTTCAACTTCAAAATCTCTGGGCTAATTTTTTTTTTACTTTCTACGCATGAACGGCTGGTACAATAACAAACCACCACCATGATAATGTTCAGGGATTCATCCTAATTGCTAACTTAGTTTTTTTTGTTTAATTGTTCACAGACAAGCCTCAAATTGAAGAGCTGAGATATTTCCTAGAGTTTCAGGTCCCTCGGATATGGGCCCCTGTACAGGACAAGCATCCTGGGCACCAAAGGAAGGAACCTGTTTGCCCGTCTTTGCAGTTCAGCATGATGGGGCAAAAGCTTTATGTCAGCCAAGAGCAAGTATGTTTGCCCATCTTTTGTTCGTTGTCCTCAGAGCAATCTCAATAGATTATATTGGGCCTGTTTCGTGTAGTTTCTTGCAAGTTAAAAATTGATAATAAGAAAACACAAGCTAAAAGTACCATTTCGCCTGCTTCTCAATAAAAAATAAATAAAAAAATTCCAGCTTATTTAAGTGTTTATGTCTCATATTTTTTAGTAGAAGCTATGCAAAGTCCCATAAGAAAAAGCTATAAGCAGCCCCATAAGATGCATCAAACAGGACTACTGAGCATATTGGGCTGTTTGGTGTAGCTTAAGAAATTGCTTATAATTATTTTATTTTTTTGAAAATTTGTACCAAACTATTTGGTGCAGCTTCTACGTGCAGTATATGAGGCCAAAAATAGCTGAAAAATTTTATTATGCGAAAGCAAAGGGAGAGGTGCTTTTAGCTCTGATTATCAGCTTTCAGTTTGGTAGAAAGAAACTACTCCAATAGGCCCATCAACACATGGGAAACCCATGAGGGGAATGTTTGGTTATTGACGCATAAAATGGTATCCAAAGAAACCCATTTATTTCCTCTTTGCTTATTATCTGGCCTTAATTCAAATGTAGGTATCAGTTGGACGTAAGCACGTGACAGGCTTGCGGTTATGTCTTGAAGGATCTAAGCAGAATCGGCTATGTATCCACGTTCAACACTCGGTGTCCCTTCCAAAAATCCTCCAACCATATTGGGACACTCACGTGGCAATTGGTGCTCCTAAATGGCAGGGCCCTGAAGAGCAAGACAGCCGATGGTTTGAGCCGGTCAAATGGAAGAACTTCTCTCACGTGTGCACTGCACCAATTGAAAGCCCCGCAACTGTCATAGGCGACCTCTCCGGTGTGTACATTGTAACTGGAGCGCAGCTTGGAGTGTGGGATTTCGGGTCCAGAAACGTCTTGTATATGAAGCTTCTATACTCCAGGCTGCCGGGCTGCACGATTCGAAGATCATTATGGGATCATTCTCCTAATGACAAATCAAGGAAAGTGATCACCGTTGGAAGTAATAGTGGTGACTCGAGTTCAGGATCTAGGGAAAACATTGTGGCCCCGGGCAATAAGTTGGCTAAGTTTGTTGATATGTCGGAGATGAGCAAGGGGCCACAAGATCCTCCAGGTCATTGGTTGGTTTCCGGAGGAAAGCTTGGGGTTGAGAAAGGGAAAATTGTTTTGAGAGTGAAATATTCGTTGCTAAATTATTGAGTCTAATGCTAGGGTTTTGTTGAATGAGGTGAGAATGTGCTCCTTGATGGTGTTAGATGTCTGGAGTTCTTTCCAGTTTTGCTCTCAAATTCTGGGGTTTTTTTTTTTCTTCGGTGAGATATTGTGAATTTTGTAGAAAATGTGATGTTCTACCTCTCTTGAAACGTATATGTATATGTATCTATGAGTTATCATTTAGAGTTATTTCTTTCTTTTCATTTTGGTCTTCTACCAGAAGAAATTCAATAATACGAGGGACTAAGATGAAAAATATGAAATAAAGAAACGATAAACGTGTGGCTTTCTTGCTTAATAATTTGGGTAACAATGTTAGAAACTCACATTTTATATTTGCAAATGTATTCACAATGATGTGGCAAGGGTAGTAGGTCTTAGTGTTTAATCAATCAAAAATTGACACTCGTTAAATTATATCATTGTGAGTTGAATTATAAAAAATTTATGAGGATCTCAAATATTTTCTTAATTTGTGTGATTGGCAGCTCTGTGGTGATCCTTCACCCCTGCTATGAACGATTTGGTGAAAATCTCAATAGCCTATTTTGGCAAACTAGGATAAAAATTGATTTAGTTTATTTGTATTGCATTACTTCTTTATTGTTTTTGACATATTTTTTTAAAAAAATAGTACAAAGAAGTAAAAAAACTGACTTTTTTTCCTAGTTTCTAAAATAGGCCAATATGTAATCATACGACAAAAAGTTCACTGATTTATGTTTTGAAATATTATTTCAAAAATAATTTTCTTGATTGATTGATGTATAGTAAAAAGAAATGATTCTGAAAAAAAATTTGTAATAATTTTCAATCAAATGTTTTTGAAAGAAAAAGAAAAAATTCTAAAGATATGTACAAGCCCATTAATCTTAGAACAGAAGATCATGTGTTGGGGCTAATCACCCATTTACCCATGAAGGGGTAATTTGATCTCTTTGTTACCACAACCAAAAAGCTACTTTTCTAAGCTTAATGGCACCTCTGGTGGCTTTAGCACATTCAAGCTTTTCATTAAAAAAGCAGGGGACTCAGCATCCCTGAATTTTTTTTTAAAAGTGCTTTCTATTATCTCCTCTGTTTTGTCCACTTTAAAAGTCTATTTGAGAGGATTGTTATGCCTTAAAATGCTTGAGAAAAAGAGATACAAGAACAATAGCATTCCAATTATGAAAAGTTTAAAATGTCTTATTAGAACCCAATAGTTGGTTCTCTTTAACCAAGTTGGGCTTATAACTACAAACATACACATATATATAACACATATACAAGTGAAAAAAAACCTATCTTATACAAAAGACGAGAAATAAGAGAAGGTGATAAAGAAGCGATTTATCCATCGGGTCAACCCTTAGTCTCGAGTTTTCTAGAATTGACTTCCTTCAAAAGTTTGTCCAAATTGCCAGCCTGCTGGCATGACATTGTAGCTAGTGACCGTCCTTCCATCACTGGCTGTAACTCGAAAAGAGAGGCCTTGACCTTTGAGGTATGAGTCGCTCTGCCAATTTTGACCCCAATTCCTTGACATGACTTTCCATCCTGTCTTAGAGCCCTTTACGGACACTACATGGATATCCCCTGCACCACCCACGTTCGTTATCAACACCAAGTTGAAGTAAGAATTTCCATTAACGGTGAACTTCATTCCTCCTTTCTTCACACATGGTACCCTACTCAAAAACCAAGGCAAATGTTGATGTTATAATGAACAAAACATGAACAAGACGAGAAGCATATTCGAGACAGTCTTGGCTCAGAACACTCAAACCTAACTCTAATATCATGTTTGAATATAATCTTAGCGATTGCTATTACCTTCTGTAAGCTACCGGGACAATTCCAGCACGATATCGAGCAATCTTCAAGAAAACAGGCTGTGACAAATCGAAGTGTCGGAGAGGGGGATTGCACCACCCACCATTGTCATTGGAGAGAGCGTAATTTGGAGGGCAGAAGTTGGTGGCGGTGATGGTGATGGTACCAGCAAGGCACCATTGGGGGTCATTCCTGCATCTCAGTTGATAACATGCGCCACAGCTCAAGCCATTGTTGAAGAGGGCTGTGCTTAGAGCTGCTGTGCTGGTTCCATAGCCTTGGCTGTACAGGTTTCCATACCCACATGCACCTCCTACACACAATATTTGAAGATTGTAAAGTGATAGGGTTGAATTTGAGAGGAAATAAATAGGGTGGTAAAACGAATCAAACTAGTCAAAACTTGATTTGTAGTCGGTTCATTAAAAATTTGTTTGATATTAGCTCATTATGAATACAAGTAAGTCAGTTTAAAATACACACTTAAAAAACTGAACTACCAATCTCGGTTCAATTGAAATACATTTGGAGTCAATTCTAAAAGTAAATAAGTCAAGCTTAAATCCTTATTAAGGACAAAATCTCCTAAATACGGGTCAAATTTGAATCACCTATTACTCAGCCTGGTTCAAGTTGACTCAAATCATTTAAGATTTGGATTGAATGGAAAAGATAACTCCCCTGCCTGCCCAATCCAATCCAATTATATATACTATTATCAAAACGTGCACACACTCACGTGAACGTACGCACACACATACAGGAAATTGTGAACTTACCCATTGTGCCGGAAGCATCACTACCACCATAGAAGGTGGCGTGAGCAGTTTGCCAGCCACCGTAGAGTCCATGGGCCTTGTCACTGTATCCACTAGTGCCATGAAGAAGGCATAATAAGAAACTGACAAGAGAGAAGAGAAATGGCTTATATTGCATTGCTCAAGTGTGTATGGTACTGTGATATCTTGGTTAGAGTAAGGCTTGAGGGTGTGAGGGAAATGGGTACCCTATATTTATACACATACACACAAGCATAAATTTGAAAGAGTAGAAGGTAGTGATGGTAGGACTGAGTTCACATGTAGATTTTTTATTTTATTTAAATAAATAAATAAAAAAGGAAAGCTATTATATATCATTGGATGAATTTTATAGTTTTTTCAGCTTATCACATGTACATAAGAACCATATTTAAAAAATATTGGCTAGTCTCCCATTATTGTCCAAGTGTGCATATATATATATATGCATGTGTGAATTTATTTAGGAGGTAAAAAATCAATTAAATTCATCCGATCATATATATCAATTTTCTTTTAAAAAAAGCAATGCTGCATATTCAGGATTTGTGCCTAGAAATTTATCTAGAAAAATCAATAAGTGGAACACATTCATTTTAGGTAAAAACGTCCAGTCATACAAAAAGTTAAACCACTAATAATATTATAATAATTATATTTTATTTAACATATCATATGTTATTATTGGGGCTGGATTTTACTCTAGTCCAAAGTCCAGGCCCATGGGACCTATCACAAGATTCATTTTGATAATTTAAATTGTTCATTTTATAAAGTCATTTGCATACATTTGATAATTTTACCCCATTCATTTTATCATATTTGTCAATAAAAAAATAGATGGTCTATTTTTTAAAATACTTTTTTTTTTTTTTTTTTTACAAACATGATAAATTGAACAAGTTCTAAAGACCTCAAAAATTATAAACTTAATTTTTTTTTCACAAAATACTAGTGACCTCAAAAATTATACAAAAAATTTTATCAAATGTCTTACATAAATATAGAATCCACATGAGCCCACATTATGTGAGTCACACACCCATGTAAGATATTTTATAAAAACTTTAGTAAAATTTTTAAAATCACTAACATTACTCTTTTTTTAATAAATTATATATACAAAAATAAAAATCGGTTCAAATTATCAAAACGAAATTCATAATAAATTTTACGAGTTTAAACAATATCCTCCAATATATATATCACGTTTGAGTCTGGTCAAGCAAATATGGACAAAATCATATGCACGCATGCAATTCATTATATTTGGTTGGGAACCAATTCACATATGCATATCGTAACATCTACAAATTTCTTAAAAATTTCATAGAAGGGGCGAGGCGTTCACCATCTGCTTTGATAGTGACATGGCAAAAAGTCCAGAGGTTAAAGAGGATACGTGGCAGGTTATTGAAGAGTTGACAGATCAGCAAGGTGTTGAAGGAGGTCACATGATGATGATACTCAAAGCAAAATATAAGATTGCAGGCAAAGAAGGGTGGTCAAAGTCAAAGAGGGGGAGAGGGGGTAAGGTGTCGAGTATTACTTGGACGGCCCAATTCACATGTAGGATAGACTCAAGGGTTGGCGAACAGTTAGCCAACCAAATTTAGTAACATGAATAGTCTGGTTGGGAAGATTGATGATTACGTGTCACTTGCTGACCTGTACTCCCCCTCGGGTTTCATGCCCTTCCCCTCTCTGACAGGCTGGAAATTTTATGTAATAGATCTAATGGGTACATAGATCTGATTTAATTTATAATCTAAGCATATTGGATCATAACTCTAAATTATAACTCATTGAGTAACTCATCGAGGCTAAGTTTTAACAATACCCTAAAATTTAAGATCCTAACTTAGGCCCCGTTTGGAGACTTACTTTTTTAGCTAAAAAGTCAAAAAGTTATCCTTTTAGCCAAAAAGCCAACAACTCATACAAAAAAGTCAAAGATTCTCTTTTCTCTCTACTTTTTGCACATCTTTTTGTAATTAGTCAAAAAGTCATCCCAAACATATAAGTTTTTTTTACCTACTTTTTTAGCCAAATAGCCAAAAAGTTACTAAATTAGCCTAGTACGTTTTGATCGATAAACGAGTTAGACTAAGTTCGAGTTATTTTATATTTCTAAAACTCAAGTCTTATTTGTGAGCTTAAAAATACGAGTTTATTGACTTTGGACTGAGTTTGGCTGATATGAGCCTAATTTGGCTTAAATTTAAGCCATTTTATTAAATTAAAATTTATTAATTTTAGGAATTGTAATATAAATATTTTTTTGTCATCCTCTTTTCTTTTGTACTACACAGACCTACTTTGGTAAAAAAATCAAACCTCTTAAGCTTGCCAATTAAAAGGATGAATTTTTATTTAGTTAAGATCGTTGATTTTGATTTTTTTTTTATTTTAGTTAAGATTGTTTAATTGAGTTTATTATATCTAGGAACGACTCTTAATTTTTTAATGAAAGATCAAACTGCAGAAACACTTCCTATCTAAAAAAAAACTGCAAAAAAACAACCAAGGTTGCCAATTACATTAAAATATAAATATGGAGAAACACCTTCGTAACAGATTAAGATGCTTTATTGTTTAGTTTAATTACTTATTCTGGATATTGAATATATCTAATATTGAAAACAAAATGACAATTAACATCGCTATCACTGTCATCCAATAAGATTAATGAGGCATAGAAAGGGACACCAAAAGGGAGTAGAAGATTTGCATTTATAAAATTTATAATTCGAAAAGCATGAAAGTTGCCAGAAATTTTTTACATGTTACCTAATTATCCTTATCTATTTTGAACAAGGAAATGGAACCCTGAATAAATCTAAAAAGTACGATAATTGTTTCCCACTTTTACTGGAAATCTTGCATATTCTGTGAAAAACAAAAATCTAAATTTAAAAGCTCAAGACAACTTTATGTCAAATTTCATTTTTCGACACTTTTTTGAGCTCTTGCTAAACAAACACAAAATTTTTTTATTTTATTTTTTCTCTTTTTAACATTTCCATCACTCCCTTACTAATAAAATGGACCCTTACTCTTTAGTATGAATTTATAACTTTCTATATGAGATTCATAGGTCCATTCAACTAAAACAATTCAGTTGGTTTCATTTAACCATTTTTATAGTGTTTCAAGTTGTTATCATCTAACAAACTCAAACAATTAAGTTAGTCAAAACAAATTGATGTGTAACTGCCGAAACGAAATTGTTACTAGACAAAGAAACATCGTATACCAAATGATGAAACTTCATTTTTTGACACTTCTTTAGGATTCTTGAGCTTAACAAACACTAATTTTTTTTTTTCTTTTTAACATTTCCACGAACCTTTAACTTTCTATATGAGTCATACATCCATCCAACTAAGACAATTCAATTGGTTTCACGCAACCATTTAATAGTTTTTCAAGTTGTTATTATGACCTAACAAACTCAAACAAGAAGGTAGTCAAAATAAATAGATGAGTAACTGCCAAAACTAAATTGCTACTAGTTAAAGAAACATCATGTACCAAATGATCTTGTTTATGTCGACGAAGAAGGATATCTAAATGAAAATTGTACGTTTTCTCTCAAATAACAAATAGATGGCCAATGACATGTCTACTACTTTTAACAACTTTTTATGAAGTGTAGGTGTTTGGGGCTTAAGTCGTTTTCATGGGATGATTTTATATACTTCTAAGCTCTAGTATATACTCATGATTATAAGTCTGATTGAAGAGATTAAAAATTTGAGCCTGATGGGCAATCCAATCTTATAAGACTAAAGTGTAATCTCAAGTTTTATAAATCATGGACTAGTTCAGGCAGACTTAGCAGGTCATCAAGTTTATATTCACCCTAGGATTAGAGATATCGGTGAATTATATATCTAGTGAGCCCATCATAAGACTACATGTTTATTTTTTTTGTGTTGGAAAATGCTAGAGGTCCCAAATTTTCTACCAAATAAATGACCAAATGTCTCACATGGGTGTGGGATCCACAAAATTGCGGACCCCACACCCATGTGAGACATTTGGTCATTTGTTTGGTAGAAAATTTGGTATCCCTAGCATTACTCTTTTGTGTTTTCTAATCGATCTTTTGTGTTGGACATGAGTTTATCCTGTCATATATGCAGACCACGCAACAGGCCTGAACTGGAATTGGACTGCAAAATTATATGGTTTAAAAAAGTAGGCCTGAACTTGAATTTTGAATTATCTTATATGCTAGTATAAAACATGAAATGTGAAATCCATTAAACTGATATCCAAAATCTAATACTCAATTATTATTATTTTTTGGCTATACCCACATTTAATCAACCATACTAATATGTCTGAACAAATTTTGATGCACGAGAAGCCAAAAATCACATCTGGAAAAGCTAAGTGTGAGATTGCTCCGAATCCTAGTGGGAAATCTATCAGGATGAAAAACAATTCATTCATCAATATTTACTTACTCATGCTCGCATAATAGATCAGTTATAGGCAAAATATTCAGTCAACCATGAATCAAGTATATTGATTTTAAGCCAGTAACAATTAAATTGAAATAACAAGGTACCTGACTGTCTAGCAACACTCTATTGTAGCTTAGCAACACCCAGATTGATAATGCAAACATTCATGGAGGCAAAAGTCCAACTGCATTGCATGCCCAGCCCAGACCATAGGATAATAAATTATCAGCCATGCTCCTCCTTGAACACTCCGATCCACGGTGTCAGTCACCTTGGCTCCACTTTGCCACTTTCTCTCAAGACATTTGCAACAATTGGCATATTTTGTGCAACTTCCTGCAAGCTGAAAGCTGATAATCAGAAAAACAGAAACTAAAAGCATCAGTTTCTCAATAATCAGTTGTTTTCAACTTGTTTGAGCTATAATCAGTTGTTTTCAACTTGCTTCTTTAGCTATAAACTATACTAAACACTTCAAACATTCCACCAGCCTACCAGTTTATCTCCTTGGCTCCTGCTTTGATTGTTTCCCAACAATTTTATTCGATCCAAAAGTCATGGAAACACCTTCCAATATTCCAGATTGTTCTGTAAGGTTACTGAATCTTTTTGCACTTCCTGATTGCAAAGCAGAAAAATTATGATCAATGCAATTATGGGCTAAGAGATAGTGCATGCCATCCCCAAACCAAAACAGTTGTCACTGGCAATGTCATGTCCACATGAATCACATGAATATTAACAACCCAAGCTTCATAGGGCAGTGGCAGTGGCAATGGTGATACCAAAATCATTTTTAGCTCTCGTATAGTTTCATCACGATGTATGTAGTACAGATGCCAACCACCAAACCAAAAGGGCCTACATGAATACTTAAAAGCCAGGTAATTTCGGGAACATTTTAAGCTCAACATAATTCATTTGGTGAAGATTCAGGACAGAGTTTATGAACCTTACAAAGCATATCCTCAAAATGTTAACTTTGACATGGTAACCGAGAAGATCACAAATTAAGCTACAAAATCTTCTGCAAAAACCAAAATATATATATATATATATATATTTTAAAACTGTCAGCGCATTTCAAAGCATTGTCCTCTTCTAAAAGGATTGAGATTTAAGTTTTGAGCAGTGCATTCAACAGTTGTTTGTTTCCCTTACCATTTACGGGGACGCTGAATTCTGTTCTTCTGTTGCATTTACGTCTTCATCAAATATAAGTCTTTCCAATCGATACACAAGATTATTTGATGATGAGACTAAAAGTTGGTTTTCTCGTCTCAAGTTCTCCACTTCCTTCCTCAATTTCGCATTTTCCTCTTCGAATTTTGAACTTGACAAGAGCTGAGTTTTTAAAAGTTTATTCTCTTTCCTCAAGTCATCAATCTCCTCCTTCAATTTTGCATCTGGCTCTTGTAAAATATGATCTTTTATTCCTAAGTCATCGTCACCATCATCCTATACAATCAAACATTCTATGTAAAATGTAAGAATGTATACTATACACAAAACAAAGGAAAGCACAATTCAACTTAGCTCACGTCGCTTATGATAATAAATGTGGAAGATTCTTGTGATGTCCGTGGATGATCCGTGTGCTCTCTTTCTCCCTCTGACACATTATGAGATGTAGGTAAAATATCCACTTTGTCTGTTAGCATCACTGGTACATTTTGTGCTTTTCTTGATTGCTCGAAACAATCATCTTGTGTCACATGAACTTCTCCGACCATATTCATTTTTGAATCATTTTCCATTTCGGCAATCCATTGATCCATAATTTGTAATCTTGTTCTCACATTATCCTCCTCCTGTTGAGAGGAATAAATTAGTTTGTATCAAACATAAGAACACAAAGTGACAAGTGAATCATTAGTTAAGGACTATAACTCTATAGTCATAAGAGAGAGAAGAAATTACTTACCTTGTGAATCAAAACATTATACCTCGGTGCAGGAACCTCTTCGCCATCACTCTGTTCCTCTAATAACTCTTTGATTGTATCCATTTTTGACTCCTCGGAAGTCAATTGAAGCTTCCACGTTATCTGAATGGATAGATAGTATAGTATGCAACTAAATGGCTGAAAGAAAACTAATATTTACACAAATTTAATGATGCGCTACTCACTATAACAGTAAATGAATTTTGGTTTCAAACACGAGAGCTTCTATTTACACCCATTAAATTTTTCATTACACTCCTTTTATGCATTGTAACACTTATACTCTATGTCGAAAGACTTGTACATATGGGTGTAAACAGGTATTAATGTTGTGTGACTAGAAGCTCCCTTTAAACACCATGAATTCACAGCGAGTGATCTCAAATACCTGATTCTTTTCCAGTTCCTTAAACTTAGTAATCAACCACTGTCTTTGATGAGACCTACTATTTTCCCATCGGCAGGCACGAGGGAATTGGCAACCTAGCAAACCAGGCCGAGCAATATCAATATGCTCATATGACCATATCTGTACACAGCATAATAACGGGTTCAGAATATAAAATTAGAACAAACTATTAGAAATTCATTGTCATCTAACAAAAATACTTGGGAGTGTTCTTCAAGCTTTTGACATAACTACAGGCTTGTGATGGTGCATCAACATATAAAGCAAGAACATAAAGCGTATCATTGTAATGTCGTACACACAAGAACATGGTTTAAGTAACTCAACCTTAAAATTAAACTTTAATAGGCACTACATGATATTTATTTACAAGATGCAAAAACTTACTTGGAGGAAAATAAGACACCCTCCCACATATTGTACATTCATCTCCTTTCTTTTGCACAACCAGTTACTTATCTCCTCAAGAACAGCTGCACCCCATGCAAAATGACAAACCTTATCCAATCTTTGGAGAAGAGAAAGATAACGGGAATCTACTTTGCCATTTGAATTGGGAAAAAGTAGTGTCCCAAATATAAATAACAAAAAAGACCTGATAAAATCATCATTAACTATTCCGTCAAGTGTGTCAAGTCTCTTCTCGATTGATGCTATCGTGATCTTCCTATTCCAAACAACTGCTCCATATTCTCTCTCCAAATCAGAAAAAGGTTGATCTTCCCTTAGGATCACAGGATCTCCGGTAACACGTAGTCCTAGAATTAGTGCGACATCCATGAGAGTCATGGTAATATCCCCGGGGACAAGTAGAAAAGCATGCTTATCGCAACTCCATCTTTCCATCAACTCGACAAGAAGATTTTTGCTCAACATTTGATAAGGGATCCGAAGCAAGTTGCCAAATCCCATTCTCTTTATGGCATTTTTCTGGTTTTCTGTCAGTTTGTCTACCCTTTTAACAAATGGTTGCAAAGAAAATCTAGTACTGAAGTTCCCCACCTGCACAGAAGACCAATCATGAATGATCATTGGTTCAGTTCAGTCAGTACATAGCTATTTTCACTTTCTTTCTTTTTATGGATATGGATAAATATTTTTCTGAAGAAGTTTTAGCAAGAATTCAACTTAACCCTATATTTTATTGTATAAATATTCATGATTCAGTACACTTCTACATGAGTTTATGCATTATAAATGTCGAAGTAGCATACAGACAATAAAACCAAGTATTATTTCAGGGATTCTATCGCAGTATAGCATATCTTTATTCAGTCACACCCTCCCCCAAACTTACAAGTATTTGATGCATGAATTCCTAACACAATAATCAAAATTCTTTGCACTGGTGATCATCCACTATAAGTCATCTGCATTTGAATAGCCAAAATTCTTAACTATAGTGGTCAATTTTGGCACCAAAAGTAAAGGGCATATAGTAATTCATCGAATGACTTAAAATTTAGTAGACTTTACATAAGCACAAGAATCAGCTATCAGTTACCCACAACATAAAGGCAACTATTTTCCTCTTTCGCATAACCTTGTCTATAATGAGTACAAAAGTGGGTGATTTTACCTACTTTATTGAGACAAGCCTGGACTGAGAACTAGTTGAGTTCCCATTAAGCAAATGGAGCAAATATGTCCAGGCATAACCAGGACCAGGTTTTAGGAAATTACTAGTGCATGGTAATAACACAAATGATGTCTAGACCCTAAAACAAAAATGGTGATCTAGAAAACACAAACTCTTCAAAATGGGTGTCATGTCTGTGTTGGACATACCACATGGCGTGTCAATTTTTTTAATTATTATTTTTTTGCAGGACACATTGGGAACACTTCACATACAAACATGTTTTGTGATGTTACACATTTTAGGACACCATTTTTTTTAGTTTTTATTTATTATAATTTAAAAATGCTAATTTGAGGTTAAAATAAAGAGGATATAAAAACAATGAGAAAAAAGTAATTTTAAAAAAATACACCCACATTTACATTGACATCTCTTATGTCTATATGCCATAATTTTTTTATAACTGGCCAACTTGTGCGCACATCAACTAATCTGAAACATTAAATCTTATTCTCAAGTCTTTACCGCTTGACCAAGTCTTTACCGCTTGACCAACCCAGGGTTCTATATGCCCTAAATTTGTGACCCTAAACTATCCATTATTTTGCATTTAATTTATTACTTTGTTTGTCAAAGTTAATTTTCCGGAGAAAAGGAATGTAAAATTTTTTGGAGCTCACAAATTGAACAATGATTTAGGCGGTTCTTGTCAAAACTGCAAATCAAAAATCTTTGATTAGAGATTCAAAAATCGATCTATTTAGGTTAGAAATCACTCTGTTACTATGTCACCACTACAAAAAAATGAAAATCAAGCAGCTAAATCCACACAAACACATAAATCATAGATAAGAGATTATAAAGAGGAGAAAAAAAAAAGTACCGAATTGGATCGATCTTTTAGTCCAATGGAAGATCTCCGAGAGGCTTTCTTCATCCTAATAACAAGAAGTTAAAATTACTTGGATCGAGTGCTTCGTGAGGAACAAAAATGACGATCCGATCGAGCGAGAGAGAGAGAGGGAGACTGAGAGGGAGAGAATAGGGAAGGGAGAGCAAGAGTAGCGTGAGTGAAATGTGAAGCTTGTGTTTTGGTTTTTGAACTAGAAATGTGAAGCTTGTTGGAGAAGCTTTTTGCTGCTTTGGCATTCAAAATGTGATGCTGACGTAAGCGGAATGGCGCCAAAACCAAAATTGGTATATACGTGTGGTGGACATTCAATCGGGATGGGCTCGGGCAGGATTTGTATGTACATATCATTATTAAATCATGCCCGACCCGACTCAAGATGGGTTTTTTCCTTTTTTATTTTTTTACCGTATGATAAGATATTAGGAGTTAGTATACTAAATTACAAAAAAAAATATTCAGTATGTTTGGTTAGAGTTTTTGAAAATTAAGTTTTTTTGTTTTCGTTTTTTTCGTTTTTAGTGAATATTTTTAAAATTTTAAACATTTTTTTTACTTCTATAGATGCACCTTACTTAGAGGTATCTAAAAAGTAAAAAATTTGTGAAAAAATATTTTTAAAAATTAATAAATACATAAAAACACAAAAAAATGTATTGAATTCTTACATTTTTTGTATTTTTGGTATTTAGTGAATTTTTAAAAAGTTTTTTTCAATTTTTTTTACTTTTTAGGTATATTTATGTTAGGTGTGTTTAAAAATTAAAAAAAATTGCTCAAAATATTTAAAAAATTCAATAAAAACAAAAAACACTGTAAATAAGAAAGTTAAATTTTTTGAAAAGTGTTTTTGAAAAATGATAACCAAACATAGTGATTGTAATCGTTCCATTGACTCAAGTCCTAAACATTTGATATTCTTACTGTATCAAAAAAATATCTAGGTCTAATCTAACTCACCTAACAATGGTCTCTTTTGAGAAATTGACTATTTTAGTAGGTTATTTTAGTTTTTTACTATTTTAGTAGGTTAAAATTTTTATGTGTTGGAAAGATAGTTAGATTTTTTTTAAGTTAAATATGATATTTGTGAGAAAAAAAATGAAATGATTATAGATTTAATGTGTCATTTTATTTTATTGACTATTTTAGTCTATTTTATTTTTTTATGGATTTTAACCTTAAAAAAAGCCATAAATTCACTTCCCAAACAAGGCATTGTATATAACAATTCTTTTTTAAGATTCAAGGTTATTAAATTGCTATTTGAGAATTTTCAAATAAGTCACATTTTTTTCCGTCTTTATTGACAATTTTTTTTTTATATAAATTAAGGTTCTTTTTGTTTCGATATAAAATAATTTTAGTAATCTTTTTTCTGATGTTTGGCAATGAACCTAATAAAAAATCCAACAAAGGTGAAACATAAAAAATTATTACATGGCTCACTGTGTAAATAATGATAAATTGATCCTTTCATTGCAAGCCTAGCAACTCATTTGCTCTCAGCAGAGCTTTTGAAACGTGATTACAAAATCCTAAACAAACATCATACTGAAACACAGGTGTAGAATCACGTTTCAAAAGCACAACCAAACACAGCCCAAATTTGTAAGTCAATTTCCTTCAATTTGTTGGAAAAATATTTAACCAAAAAAATATTTTACTTACTTTTTGATCAATTAAACAATGGAAAATGGGTAAAAAAACAATTTGGAAAATATATTTTACGGCGAAACCAGCGGAGTATAAGGTTTTTTTTTTTCTTGGTCCATCTTTGTAGATGAATCTAAAAGGTCAAAAAAATTAATCCAAAAAACTTTGGAAGCCAAAATAAACCCAAAAAATTCTCTATTTTGACTTTTTTTTTATTTTTTTTGAATTTTTAAAATATTTTGTAAGAAAAATAATTTTTTAATTTATCTCATCAAGTGGAATTTAAAAACTTATTTTTTTTTTATAAAAAAAAAATCACTAAAGACTAAAATAAGTCAATTAAAAAAAAAATCCCAAACAAATTCAAACGAGTTGGTCCCTTCTAAAATTATTTAATTTATCTTATTAAAAAATATATTAGTAAGATAAATTTGAGTTTTTAACAAATATTTTAATTTAAGGGGTTGTTTGGGATGTCCTAAATAAGTGCACTTTTTGTCTTTTTGAACTAAAAAGTTGAGGAAAAAAATATGGATGTTTGGATTAACTTTTTGACTTTTTATGAAAAAATGTGTATTAAAAAATTGTATAAATAAGTGTGTAGGGGAAGATAGGGTAGGAGACCGTACGGAATGGCAGTGGTGACTAGCTGGGTGAGTAGATGAGAAAATATTGTCTCCTTCTCAGACTTTGATTTGATGGTGTTGTTTGGTCCGTGGAGGCCCACCACAGGTCCTGTTTTTCTAATCGGAACCGTTCAATGTGTAGAACTCGTCGAGTACCATATGCTAACAAAAAATTACGTTGATTAGATATCGATGACTATCTGATCGTGTTAGTTTTTTTTGTTAACTGTTAACTATAACACCATCCATTTTTATACAAGACTGATTTGATCATGTAGTTAGCGATATCCGATAGACGTGATTTTTTAGAAGTATATAGTAATAGACGAATTCTACATATTGACGGTTCAGATTATCAAAACGGGACCCATGGTGGCCCCCACGGGCCCAACTTTACCATCCAATTTAATGAATATTTTACTATAATTTTTTTTTGTTTCCCCGGCCATTGACTCCACCATCACGTCAGTACCAATCTTGGGGCTTTTTTTTTATTTGTATTAATATTTATATATTATTTTTTTAATATTTTTTTTGATGAATAGTGATAATTTTTTAATATTTTAGATAATTTTTTGACTTTTTAACTTTTTCAAGGGTCGTCAAACCAGCTCTTATACTTTTCTTATTTTTTAGTATTGTTTTAGTTTGTAACGTAACAAAATAATATAAAATTTAATTAAGATAATTATTAAAACTCACCTAAATGTTGTCCAATTGCTAGTTAGTTGTTTTTACCAAGAAAAATGTTATGTTTTTTAATTTTTCATATATTATTTATGACAAAAATGATATAACAGTGTTATTTTTGAAATTATAAGTAGTTAATAAGTCTTTTGGTTTACTTTCCTCCCAAAAAAAAAAAAAAAAAAAAACTTTTGGCTTAAAGTGATATAATTAAAATGTATTATATCATTTTGTATTAATTTTTTATACTATTTTTTTTGTTTGAATAATATTTCTTTTTTACCATATATGATAAAAACAAAAAACAAAAAAAATAGAGCATGATTAGCCAAATCCACTCTAACCATGTTTGGTGACATTATGAAGTTGCTTATAATTTTATTTTGGGAAAACTTCACTTTACCTTTGTGATTTGGCCGGGGTGCAGTTTACTCATTGACGTTTGAAAATAATCACATAATTCACATATGATTTATGCACCAAAGCGCACATGTAACTTCTGTTAACAGTAGTAATAAATTGATTGTTATACTTGTAATAACCCGACCCTCACACATGTTCTTGGTATATTTTTAGTCCCTTATTTTGTGCCTTTAAACCCTTAATGAAAAATTCCACGAGAAATTAAGTTTAAGCACATGTATCTTATGAATTGAATCTATATCTATTTGGTAAGGAAGTATCTGTCACAATTGGAATGTTTAAATTGGAAATTGAGAGCGTTAGAGGCTTGATAATTTGAAATTGATTTCACATTTGAGATCAGCATAATTTTTACGTCATAATGAACACTTTTGTAAAAATTTGATTTGGGATGACTAAACTGATTGAGTTTTGTCCTATTCAACTTGTTTTGTATTATGTATATATATATATATATACCTTTTGATCATTGGTATGAAAGAACCCCAAAAAAAAAAAAAATCCCCTGAGTGCATTGGAAGAGGAAAGTTAGAGAGGTAGAAGGGAAGTCTAGCAAGAAAGGAAGATTGAGTAAATTAAAGGAGCTATAGAGATTTCAAGCCCAAGGTATGAAATCCTTACTTTTGCTAAGCCTCTCGAAGATTGATTGTGAAATTCTCTTATTAATATGGAAGTTAGGGTTATGCTTGGAAATCAAGAATGTGATGGTGTGGAGGTTTAAGCTTTGTAGAGAGGAATTATATCTTATTTCCTTACCTTGCATCTTTGAACTCATTTAAATGTTGGAGGATCATGTGTGTGTGTGTGTGTGTGTGTGTGTGTTTGGAAATTTATGAATTGAATTGAATTGTGTTGTGAACTCAAAGGACTAAAGATCTATTTATATTGAGATTGATGTATGTTGGTAATGTTTATTTTCATGATATTTAGATCATGGTTTAGCAATTTATAGACTTGTTTTGAGCCTTGTAAACACTCACCAAAAATGAGATTTTGCTTGAAATTCGGACTGCTCTCACAAGGGAAATCGCCGCACATGCGGGGTCATGGCCGCACGTGCGGGAGGTACTGCCGCACGTGTAGGAGTCATGGCCGCACGTGCGGGAAATGGCAAAATTTTGGGGTTCAGCTACTGCTAAAAAAGCACGTGCGGGGCTATCCAGCCGCACGTGCGGGGCTCACAGCCGTACGTGCGGCCCAAGCTGAAAAAGTTTGTCTGCTCCGTTTTGCGTGTTCGACCCTCGGATATTATTAAAATAATTATTTGATACCCTTAAAGTGTTTGTAAATTCATTTGATCGAAACGAATCCAAAATTGAGTTAAAAAGGGAAATGAACTAATACTTGAGTTATGTGTATGTAGGGCACATACCGGGAGCGGCTGCCACTCCACCACAGCACTGTGAGTAGCAGTACTGTAATCGTACGTTTACTACCGTTAATAATTCTTATTATTAACGCTCTGCTCTTTACAAGTAATTACGTTAATGTTTATGTTGTTTGGAAATCGGTGAAAACGTTGAAAGGCTTTGTGTACATCGGCATGACTTTTGATCTACTCTGCATTCTGGTTACAGTTAATAGTTAGCATTAATGTGCTACAACCTGTAAGTTACTTATGATTCCGCATAAGAATTACATACGAATTAGTAATACTGTGCAATTAATTGACGGGAAGGAATTGTGAATGTAAACCCCGCTTATGGAAACATGATATTTTGAATGTCCTATTATGGACTCCTATCATCTTGTTTGGTATGGTGCATGTGTTATGACATTGATATCTGCCTAAAAGGGATT